TATAATCCTCTCTCTTGGTACACGTGCCGTATAGGTATATATGTGTATAAGGGGTAGGGGGGAAGCGCGACATATGCTTGCGTCGCCGGACGGTCGAGCAAATTGTATACTTATGCAGCACAGAGAAAAACGGAGGGAGGGAGGGGAGCGAAAAGTCGAATCTTAGACCCCGATACGCGTAGACCTTGGGTGATGGTAATTCACGCGCAAGAGGCAACCATGCATGGGAGTAGGAGGATGTAAGTGCGAGGGTTCGCGCGGTACATGGGTACACTATACATATATGTATGCGTGTGATGGGGAGACGTATAGAGCGTAGCGTTACAAATTGCGTTTAATTGCAGATAGTAGTGCACGGAGAACGAACGGGGAATCGCTTTTACGCTGCTGATGTTAACTTCGGATTATACGTACTTATATGTATATTGTAGCACGTTACACGTGATGCGGATCGATGTACACACACATACGTAGTCGTGCACCTATCATGTACATGGTAAAATTTATCCGCACGGGTACACCGATCATTGTAATTGAAAGCGGGAGGGGGGGGAGAAAAATGTATAATGAAGAAACTCGCGGGGTAGAAATCGCAGGAGAGAAAGAGAGATGAGCGATTGATTGGACGAGATAGGAAAGCGAGAGCCGGAGATGTACTTATCGGCATTACGGTACGTAGGTATAAATCTATATATATGTACGCGGGTATTAATCGGTGTACACACGAGCGCCCTCGGAGATCGATAAATCTGTCGAGTAGGCATCCAAGTACGTGAAGGTAGTACGCGGCAACGGGCACACGCGTGTGAATTATATCGTTACATTGTAGGAACAAAGCAAAGAATTATCAATATTTTTATTTTTATTTTTATTTTTTATACCTATACATCTGTCTATATAGAAAATGTGGAGAGAGCCCGAGCAGCGACGATAATTTTGTTATTAAAATAATTATCCCTCGTACGTGTGTGTGTGTGTGTAACGTTGAGACACGGGACGGAACGAATGGTCGTATACGAGCGATGAAAGGAGATATTTCCCGAATCGCGCGGGTTATTCTCGTCTTTCCCAACGTACTGGGGATATAATCAATACTCTTTATTCGAATAAAATCCACTCCAACGCGAATGAAAAGAGAGAACGATGTATATATACATATACATCACCTCGCATCATGGAAAATCTTTTTCTATTTTTTTTTCTCTCACCACCATATACATATATATAGTCCAGCCGCGTACACCAGTATGTAGGTATACATACCTATATATATATCCAGGGGATAGGCGCGAGGGGAACTCACGCGTGCAAAGAGTTAGCCAGCAGGCACATTCCGATTCAATTTCCATTCAGCGCCATTGCGCTCTTCTCTTCTTCCCTCTCCCTCTATACGTGTACGCAATATCATATATACGTGCATGGCTGCATGTGTATAGCCTCTCGACGCACTATAAATTCACACATCACGGGGCACCTCGTATACATCGGCATCAGCACACTCTAGAAAACTTTTTAAAAAACTAAACAAGCTTAGATTCGCACGCACACGGTGTACTGCTGTTAATCCCGAGTGCAGAGGGAGAGAGAGAGAGAGAGCCCCGTGATGCATGTACATACCTATATATATACCCATGGCTCGTGTATATCAGCACTTGAACGCAAGGGGCGAATTTCTTCTTTGCTATCCTTGCACCGTTTGAGCATCGGCAGCATATCCTTTGCATGCCCTTCCTTTTAGCAACGACCGGGTACCAACCGATGTGCATAGGTATATATACGATGCGAAAGGGGCCAAGGGAGAAAGAATTCATTGTGGGGTATCGAGAGGATTTCTGCAGGCAGGAGGAGGCGAGCCCGTGTTTACCCGGTTGGTCGAGCGAGTCTGAGTATAGTCCTGTAAGCTACTGCAACCCGCATTCACGGGCATACGTATACCTATCATATATTTGTAAAAGTTTTTTTTCCGTGCGAGTGATATATACACATGTACCCGCACACGTGACGAGTGAGTTTTCTTTTTTTTTTAACAATTTAAACCAAGTACTTTCGGGACGTGATGTATAGATACGTCACTCTGTACCGAGAGCGAGGAGGGCCCGTTCGTGACAAAGTGGGGTATACCCACGAGGTCCTAATTGCTCTCTTTTGGCCTTTCTATTTTTCGTTCGTCGCTATACATATACATTGTACGCGCGCTTCCGCCGTGCATCTGTACATCCCTTGCGGCGGACGCGACGATTCACGCATCCGGAATACCTAATGTGTTTTTCACGCGCCGGGGGTCGCTGCTCGCCACGGGATTTCCTTTCACCCCCCTCCCCCCGTTTTTCACGGCTTTTCACACCCTATTATGTACCCACGAAGGATGGGGTGTATACGTACACCCTCCCCACCCTTCTTTTTATTGTTGTTTTCGCACTCGTGCACACCTTTTTATTTTCTTACACCCACTTTGTTTGCAGACTGTTTCACACGTACGGTCGCTACAATGTTTTTTGTGGTATTCTGACACTTTGTCGATTTCATTTTTCAAGCTTACGAGGGATATACCTATATGTATGTGTTGATGGTTTACGCAACAAAATAATCAACACTGACCGACAGAATGGCCATAAATGGCTCGTCGTATGCTATCAAAAATACAAGTGGACAAGAAGTGTATATTTATTAGTATGACTAAAATATCGTACAACGTGTGATGCCTCGTGTGTAAGTTTGACGGAACGGCAGGTTAAACAGATTGGATCTTTTGTATATGGATAAAACGTCGAGCGACAATATTCTCGGGAAAATTGTTATGAAATTTTCATTACAGGCCAAGAGGGAAAAAACAAACGGATCGATATCTAATAGACCGAGCGAGTTTAAAGACGATTAATTTTACGTGTTTTTTTTTTTCCCTAAAAAAAAGCTCCGCTATAATAATATCGTGACGACATTTGAAACATTTCCCTTCGGAGACTCGTTCAGTGCAAGCACAAGTAGGGAGCGAGAGGCTACAATATAATAACCATAACATCGGTATCGCATGACTGTAAAGAAATGTTGGGATTCTTAGTGTGTATACCTCTGTACTTGTGCTAAAGTATGGCTTCCCGGTAATATCTTCATCTCGATCATCGCGAGCGTATAATATTGCTGTTTTTTCGCTTGCCGATCGAACAAAAATATAACGAAGTAAAAAATGTTCAACGCAAGTTTTACACACATACACCTATATTGGTGATCACATACGCGTGCACACGAGCATTCAAGCCGTCCGTTCTCTCCGTATCTCTTATCTCTTGATCCGTGCACGCGTAAGAGCTGGCTTTTTCAAAAACATCTTTAATAATAATGATAATACACGGCGACCCGCAATAATGGCACCTCTCGTAAAAAAAAGTTAAGTATGGGAAATACAAGTATATACATTTACAGGAGCACAGAGTGTATAACTCATACACGTATAAGTGGGTAAGATCGAGTTATACTGGCGAAAGTTTCGAATTATGTATTTATACATCGGACGACGCTCTCGTTATTGTCGCGAAGCCATCGACACGGCTGTCTCCAAAACACTTAGCGGCACAACGCTTTCCCGGTCGTACTTAAAAAAGCGCGCGGTGAGTGGGGGGGGGGGGGAAGAGAAAAAAAAGTCGTGTGTAACGCGATTGGGAAATCATTGCGTAAACACGAGGAGAAGGACCAAGCGTTGGACTATCGAGTGGTCCATCGACGAGGTCGTCTGGCGACGATAAAATTTCCAAACTCCATAAGTATATAGGTGGGTACTCTACCGACGTCTCGCCAACTACGACGACGACGACGTAAGCACCGCCTTTTCAGGTCCAGCAGAAGAGACGGGCAAGAGCCATTCCCGTCTTATCGTCAAACCGAGTTTTCGCCTATATCCCCTCTATCTCTCTTGCTTTTACTTGATTTGTCCCGCGTTTTAGTGTCTTTCTCCGCGCCGCTTCGCTCACTCCCTGCCGAGGGTGACTTTTATGTATCCACCTCCCGCTTGTACACTTATACTTTCCCCCGATTTCTTTTTCTTTCTCCTCTCTGCACCTCTGTACATCGCTCGACCGATTTCTTTTTCTTCCTCTCACCTACATACACAAGTAAAATACCCTTCCCTGTTTTAACGAGAGCATTTTCTCTCTCTCTCTGCTCTTGTATGTATACCTGTTAATTACACTTGCATATACACAGTAGCCGGCGCTATTTGAATTTTTCGGTGGCGCAGGCGTATCTTCACGGTTCGCTGTCGGAGTAAATTTTTTCGTTCGTCGATCTCTTGCGCGAGGAAAAAAAAAAAAAAAAACCACCAAGTATCCATCGAGGAAATCTCGTTGCGCTGAAAAATTGGATTTCACGTTCAATTTCGCGTCGCGGAATTACCGAAGGAACGAGTTAAAAGTACGGCAAAACAGGAAAAAAGGGCCGAAATTGTTCTTTGGCGCGTGAAACCAATATTTTCTAAAGAATTAAAACTTTGCCCGCGGCGCTCGGGAAGGATTATTAGTAAATATATAAGTGTACAGCCCTTTGACGCTCGGATGAGCACAGAATGTACGAGTAAAGGGTGGCGGCCCCCCAGACGCGGTTTTTCCTCCGGAAAACTCACGGCCCCGATTTCTCTGACCGGCCGAAGAAGAAAGGGTACAAAAATATATCCACGTACATCATCCACGGGAGAGCCCAAGGGTTGTTTTTTTTTTTTTTCACGCGACACCGGACAGCTCGGAAATGTCGAGCTACACACTTGGCAAACGCGCAGCGCGAAAACAAAAAAGGACCATCCCTGTGGGCCCCCCGGAGCGCCAGAAGACAGTGGGCGTCCGAGCGCACCCGAATTATTACACCCCCCTTCCTTCCTTCCTGCTCCTTTCGCGGTTCAACTATACACACGGAGCTCGGAGACGGAGAGCTTCCCTCTTCCGCCTCCCATATATTATACTGGGTGCGCGCATAATAACAATAGCAATGCACATGTGCTGTATATTTATACTCACAGTTTCTCGGCGAGGGTGAGGGCAGCCAAGTTCCCGGGGACTTGGGTGAGGCCCTTCTCGGCGCAGTCGAGCTCCTGTCCGCCGCAGTTGCAAGCCCAGGGGCAGCGCACCCCGTTGTGGTTGCCGATCGTCCCCGCCAGGGTCTCGAGGTCCGCGCCGTCCACCATCGGACCGCCGGAGCTGCCACCCCCACCACCGGCTGCAGCCACTGACGTCCCTGTCCTCGTTGTCGCCGTGACCAGCATCAGCAGGGGCAGGAGCAAACGAACGAGCGGCGGCGTCCTCCATCGGCTCCTTCCTCTTCCGTCCCGAGCAGCCGCCTCCATTTTTCTCGATTATCCCAGACGCTGTGCTCCCGCTGTACTCCCGCGCCCTGTAATCACAACACGGGCAAATTTGTTACAGCTATGGGATTATTTGCTTCATTTTTTTTCCACCCCCAATGCGCCTTTACAGCCTCTCCTCCAAAGTTACACTTTCAGCTAAAAGTGATTCATAGCGGGGCATCCAACATTTTTCAACTTTTCACTTGGGCCCCTCTCGTTTTTTATACTAAGTATCATATATATACGGATGCTTTTATATTATAACTATAGGAGAGGGTTCCCCCATTTCGTTGGCAGGTAATAAACTCTAAGTACGGGGACGTTTTTTCTTTTTTTTGTTTTGTTTTTTTCTTTTCCACCGTGAACGTGAACGGAGGAGGAATTATGATGCGCGCGTGTCGGTATACATAATACATGTAGGCGCGCGTACGAGCTTCATATGGTCTTGGAAAGGTTTTTCGAGGAGGAAAACTGAAAAAAAGGCGCTTGCAGCAGCGTCCAGACAGCAAAGAGGGAGTTGAAGGTAATTACCGGCAAAGACTTTGACGAAGCCCTCCCGTAACATGTTTCACGCGCGCACTCGTGTATGGGTCTTGTGCAATAAATATACCTATATGTACAGCCTTGTAATTAACTTCTCCGCGTGGATGTATACATTTTAATCTTTCCGCGTTAAAAGGAGAGCGCGCGGAAAGTCCCGCGATTGCGGCCTTTTACAAGTGCGTATTGCCCCTATAATAATATTATTATTATTATATATTACACGGGTAAGGCACTTTTGATTGAATTCACAAGGTAGAGCCATGCGTTAAATAATAACAACGATGATTGTATCGTTGAACGCGTACAAATGTGTACCAGGTATATAACATGGTATAAACAGGGAGTCCACTGCAGCGATTGTAATTACACACACATAGTATATACATACACATTCGAGCTTGCAAGCGATAAACGAAAGAGCAATCAGGGGTTTCCCTGTGTGCATAATTAATAACACTTAATATCTCGTATATGGTGTACAACATGCACGTACGGACACACGAAAAATGAAAGTTTTGGCTGCTTATACTCCTGCGAGTTGTATTTACGAATTGCGTATAGCTTTCACCTGTTTCCTTTTATCCACCGATCCTCGCGCGCATCACTAGTAACCATCATCCTCTGGGACGTCCCCCATACGGATGTTTAATATTCATATCGTACTACATGGGGTCATTCATGATATTGGTGCACGAACAAAGGGAGGGATTGGTTATACTCTCTCGCCGATGATTAACGTTTTGCATCGGCGTTGCTCGTGTCGCTGCGACCGAGATTTGAAAGTCCGATACTACCGCGTGGATATAAATATTATATTGTATCATGTATGTGTACACGTGTAGGTAAAATTTCGCGCCTCCGTTGCACTTTTAGTCACATATATTTTTTTATCTGCAAGCGTAATTGTACAAGGGTTGGGATTTGAAATAAAAAGAAAAATTCTTATCGCTCGGCTGCAGTTCATATTAGCTTCATGCATATTTAAATTAGATACCGATATACATACATACATACATACATACATATATGTGCGCGAGGGGCTCGATTCGCGTTTCGATTCTGAGTTACCAATATAACTATACTCGGGCGCGATCGACGATATGATTGCATTACGATACTATAGTTGAGCTGCAACGGGTCCATATTGGAGATTTAGATGTACCTATACATATTTATGCAAGGGTATAACATTTGTAACCAAGCAAAGGTACATCAGGCGAGGTATATTTACAATTGCATCGCTGACCATGAGTTTTGGGCATAACAAACGCAATACAGGGTGAAATGCAAATGGAGGTACGGGGGCTAAACTGTAATCGGATTGTAGTCCAGAGCGTTAAAACCGAAATACAATGTAACGATGGTATGGTAAACGTATACATAGGGGGGTATTAGGTGCCGATTGTTTGCCCACAAACGAGCGCTTTTAATTAAATTTAAACGCGAATCGTAGTCGTTGTAATTATTACAACGATAACTGGCACTTAATTAAATAATCGAACGTGAAACGGCCGCGTGAGCGTTTCTCTCTCTCTCTCTGTACCCGCGTTATATGCATCGCGAGTTGTCCGGGAAATGCATGCGCGTGTACCTACGAGTGTAGCTGAGTGCGCGCAAAATATGCAATTTCCCAGCAACAACAGCGGCGGCGGCGGTGGAACATCGGGGCCGCAGCCAATTCCGACTTCAGGGAAATGAAAATTCAAATTTATGGTTTTCAAATGGGTCGCGCTACGATACATATTGATGCATACGTGTAGAGCAACAACAGCGCGCCCCGAACGCAATTAGCGCTTGTCGATCGCTGGAGTAAAAATATTTTAAAAAAAGGGAAATGTTTCTTTCTTTCTTTTTTTTTTTTTTTTTTTTTGTTTCCTATGTTTCTCCCGACGGTTCTCTGCGTGTGCATGCACAAGCACAGGTGATCGTCCGTAAATTAAGTGTCAAGTCTCGGGAAAACGGAGGAAAAAAAAAAAAAAAGAAAGTGGAGATATCCATTTTCCGTGCTACAGCCGAACATTGCCATTAGGCTTTATCTGTCGTGTACTTACAACGCGCTCCCCTATCCGGTACACGAATCGCAGCCGTAACAATAATTGACCGGGCCGAAAAAAAAGTCCCAGTCGGATCTTAATCTTTTTGAAACACACCGTCTGTGCACACACGCACATGGTAGCCCACACGAAAAGTCGTTTTGTCGGGGGGGGCCGACCGCAATGTAGCTATGGCATGTATGGGTGTATTTACAGGTTATATTGGAGAGAAAAAAAAAAAAAAAAAAAAAAAAAAAAGACAGAAGATGAGCACCGATGGGTATAGAGAAAAAGACTCAAGTAGAGGTCGGCGCGCTCCAAATTTTTTCTGTTCTCGATTCCGAGCTTCTCTTATTGCCTCGTCATACGTTTGTAGAGAGAATAGGGCAGCTATGCTAATTATCTTTCCTCTACGATCTCCCACGTGCTGTTAAACTACAGTATATACATACGCGGTGAAGATTGGAGCGAGGTCGAAGCATTTTAGTGTACAGTGCAAGGTATATATACCTACTCGGACACGCTTTACGCGCCCCGCGCTCGCTATGTATATGAATAGCAACGACGCGTTGTGTATATTGTTAATGTTATATGTACGTTCCGTGTTGTATACCTCTACCCCTTGGCCCCTCCTGTATAGTAACGCATTGCGCGATGCATCACCGACGGAGCGCGACGCGATTCGTGGATTATTGATTTATGCGCGTCTCTCCCGTCCTCCTCCGCGAGTATCTGTTTTCCCGCGTACCCGCGCGTGGAACGTACAATTACATACTCGACTCGACTCGGCGTTTTAATCCGCGTTTCCGATACGTGGCAGGGGATGAGTACCCCTCGCATCGGCGACACGAGAAAATTGTCGAGCGCGCACGGCTTGAATAATCGACGATTAATTGGATGGGGGGGAGGACGGAATTTTCGAGCATTTATTTGCACAGGTGTCAATATTATTCCTACATATACACAACCATATGCATCACGGGGTGGGGGATAAAGAGGCAAGCTCGGTGTTATTTTTCCCAATGGCTTTACAGGGCCCAAACATACGGTTCACGGATACCTATATAATATGTGTATATATATATGTACTGTACATAACAGTTGTTTACTCTGGTGTCGGATAAATCGCAACGGCCCATCAAGGGAGGGGTCCTTTGTGGCAGGAGAACGCCTGTACCCAATTCACGTGGGTATAAACGAGGTAATCACGGGCCGATCGGAAGGGACATATTTTTTCTATACTCTGCCATCAAGCTCGTCAAGTAATCAACAGCCTCGTTAAATCCAGCGCAGGTAGCTCCAGACCGAACAATTGAATTATCGCGATTATGGGGCATGCAACCTCGATATGATATGTACACAATTCACGGGACAAAGTGCACGGTAACGCTCATTGTCAAAGGTATAGAGAGAGAGAGAGAGAGAGAGGAGATTCGAAAAATCATCTTCCCCTATTCTTCTCCTGTACTGGCAGGCACACGTATAACGACGATAGCTCTCGCTGATTTCGACGAATCGAATCATGAAAAAGCCATCGAGGCACCCCCCAGGGGCGAGCGCATAATGGAGAGTGGTCCGTCGCTCGAGGCGGCATGTACATAACGGGTCATGCGTCGGGGAACAATAAACATCAGCGACAACAATCGAGCGAGGCTAACTCGCGGCAGACTTGGAACGCAAATCAATACGAACGACGAGCGGGACATACAGTGTGATACGGGGACTCGAGGAGTCGTGCCATCTAAGCGGCACGGCCAATTAAAAAGAATATAAACCCGGCAGATCCGCTTCCCGTCGCTCCGTGCCCCCTCAAAGACGCCTCCGGGACTTTCGAGGACGATTGTGCCATTGCTAATGGGGCCGATTCGGGACATTTGTTAACCATGGCTTTGGCTCCTCCGCGACTCGAGGAAGGCAATGCATCGTTGCTATTAATATATATACCCCATGATGTGTATACGTAAGAGCATTTGTCGAGACCAGCGAGAGGCGGAGGACAAAGGGAGGGAACAACGGCACCGTGAAAAGATCGGGGAGTTGCGGTGGCTCCGGCGCTCGCTCGGGCGCAAAAAGAGACCGACGTCTATACCGTGTACCTATATGTATATACGGCTGTACATGTAAAAAGGGCCCCGGGGCGCTCGCTGGTGGAAGACTAACGCGGAAGGGAAGCGGAAGTAAGTCGACGAGAGAGCGACGACGGCGTCGGGGAAGGAAAAAAAAAAGTGGCAAGGAGGAGCTACTGGCTGCGTCGAGTCACAAAGAAAAGTGAAAAATCAGCCCCTC